TATTCTCTGTAAATTTGAGATGATAACAAGATGCATCGAGATTATTTACCTGTTCTTATTCATGCTAACAGTGTTCACTGATTCGTGCTTGTATTAATATATTTAGCCATATGTAAAAGAAATTTTGATATGATCTGAAACCAGGCCAAGGCATTTGCAGAAACAAAAAAGTACAAATGTGCCCTTGAGCAAAATTTGCTTCTACTCAACTTGCAAACCATTGTCTTAAACCGTAAGCAATATCTAGTGTGAATCCAACAAAACCTGAAACAATGTGCATTGGCTCTTTCCACTCCTGATTCTTATGTTTCTTCAGATGTACAAACGTAAAATGGTACATTTCATTCATTTACCTTGGCCGCACGAAGAACACTCTCAAGAGCCTTATTTTTCAGCTCTAATAACAACTAGAAGTTGACACGACCATCTTCCTTCTCTGTCATCCTCAGTCAGTAATTTTACTATACATAGTCTAGGTGGCTCCTTCCACCAATCAGCTTACTAGGACTACTCTTGCTTTGTTGCAACATCTTTGAGTTTTCCTTTAGTTCACCAGTCTGCGGATTCAAAACCATCATATTAGAAATTCGGAATCTGGAAGGCAAAACGAGCATAAAAAGCAGGGAAGTTCCAAACTTAAAGAAGTAACCTGGTGCATATTGAGAACAATATCCGAACCCCCAATAAATTCTCCCTGATGAATATTTGGGGAAAAGTTGGCCAGTTGCTGCAGAAGCGAGAGTCAAAGTCATAACTAGCCAATTTGCATAACTTATGTTCACTTGTTAAATCAATAAGGAAACATTAGTTATGATTAATTGAGACCATTTTTTACGCGGCAACCTTCTGCTGGCATATAGGGAAAATTCCTATACGAATGGTGAGAAACTAGAGATATTCAAAAATCTGAACACTGCAATAGGCCTAACTCTGGACGGTAAAAGCATAGTAAAGCCTGCAGAAAAGCACATTTTCCTATGACGGACATGAATTCATAAATCTTGCAGATGGTTAATCACACTCATCCATCCATGAAGGCGAGAGGCTGCACAATATCAACTATACATTCCTTCAATCTGACAGATGCAATAGATATCCAGAGAAAAAAACATGCCAAGGAAGTGCGATACTTGTTATGATTTAAAACAGACCAAGTGATCAAAATCGCCCTGAAGATCTGAAGCTTCTAAGGCAGCAATTAAGACCCGCCATGAGACTTTAACAACTTATAGATCGGAAAATACCTGACGGATTTTACAGCATTTTTCAGCTCTGGATTCTCCAAAATATTTCTAGCACTGAAAGGAACATCTGCAAGGCTCACAATCATGTTAAGAAAAAAATGACCACGATAGAAAGATAAGCAATATGGATGCCATGCATTGCATGAAATTTGAGAAAATACGAATATTTGTCAGAGTTTCTATGTTATATATAAGATTATAACAACTCCATGGAAAGATTGTCCTTTTATTTATTTAATTACAAAAAAAAAATGAATGAATTCCATCAACGTAGTTTAAAGCACTGGCATGCATATCTCTCTCCAGGATTACTGGTAAACTAAAAACTCCGGTTTTTCGTTTAATAACTAAATAAAAGGACAATCTTTCTTCCAAGGCATTAGTCTCGAACTACCATGATCCGACACAAATATAACTTCGGTATCTGAGACGAAAGCAATCAAAAAAAAATGATTACCGTATACTTTTAATACTCGAACGGCAAGTGAGCTAAACCCACAACGAGGCATATCAGGCAACCCCTTCATATAAATCATCACAGAATTATCCTTGATATCCGTACAAAAACCGACTCGATCAACCAACTTTGACTGAGTTTAACAAGGACTAAACTGAATTGTGCCTCATGAACATGATAGAGTCTAGTGAGCGAATCTATCGATACCTTCTCCACAACGCTTTTTAAATCTTCATGAGACGCAGGACCATCTGGCACTGAAGTTGAGTATCTCAAACCATTATGGCAAACACTTGAACTAATCTGAATCAGTTTTCAACATAATAGTGATGGGAAAATATATTATGACGCTGAATGACACACCAGATGTCCCTTAAGTAAAGTACTGCCAAAATCCCCCCCGGGGGGGGGGGGAATTGGCAAATTCATCAGTAAGATATACTTCGTCAATCATTCCCAAATTAATTGTCATAGCTCTGAATAAGAAGAAACATGAAAGTTGATATCTTTCGAAACGTAAAGAGAGTTGCAATTTTATGATCGCCGTAGGCTTCAAACGGGAAAGTTAATGACTGTGAAAATAAAGAAAGATAGACTTACAACTCTATTAAAGCGGGTGGCGGGAAGAGCTGAAATTGAATTCAAGAGAACTTTTGTAATTTGCTTCACCATGGAACTGCTCTGTTATAATGACGGATCTTCTTGGTGGCGTGCCGCGAAAATTGGAGGTTCTTCGTTTGGTTCGGCAAGAAACGGAGGGAGAAGGAACTCCCACCTTTTGTTCAAGGCGCCGGGGAGTTAACAGTCGGCCAATAACATTTCCAGGCCCAGTGTGGTGAGAAACTGTAAAGGAGTTTTTTTTCCCGTATTTTATTATTTATTACTCTGTCCGATCCTTAATATAAAATTTAGTTTGATTTTTATTTTGATTTAGATATAAGATCCCAATCCATTTTACCTCTCATATTTATTCATTTTTTTCAAGTCCTTAATAATAATAGTTCTAACCAACAAACTTGATTAGCAATGATATGTTTGGAAAGATAACACCTATTTATTACAAATAACTAACTTAACTTGTTTTCTTAATTTACTCAAATTAGTTAACTCGCTCTTATATTTAGGACTGAAGGTAGTATTTCATAACTTTTATATCGGATATCCCCGAAGGGACACAACTTTTATATTGATATTTTGTTTTGCTGGCAATGAAATGCTATGATCTCAGTTTTACTTTGAAGATACACCCAGAATAGGGGGAGTAGATATCCCGTCCAAGAATTAATTTTAATGCCTTTACAGAAAAGAACTAATTTTAATGCGGCTAAATTTTAGAACTTTTTAAATTCAATAGTAGTATTTCCGAATGAGAAAACAGTATTGGGTGATTTGAGTAAAAGTATAAGATAAAAGGTTAAGAGTTGAAAGCATTGATGATCAAGTCTCAATCAACCGTAGTATGATTTGGTCCGTCAAAACTTCAAAAAATCAGAATCGAATTCAACATATAAATATAAAGAAGAGAAGGGCAGAAAATAATCTCTGCAAAGCTCTTGTCCTACATCCAATTGAAAGTCACTTTTTTTCCCCCTCAAAATATGATATATCAAACTATTTAAAAGAATTTTCTTTATCCCTTTTATATATGTTTCGAATTCAAGGAGCCGTTATGTGTGTGTCTCCAGTGTAGCTTATTTATATAGAGACACATATAGAGGAGCCAATTAGAGTACTGATCTATGCGACAAGAAAGTAGAGATTTTATACTTCCTTTCTTTTCCGTTGTGTGTGTGTAGTTATAACTAAACGCACGAATAAGTTATTTTCTTTCGTTTTGTTTTTAAATATGCCTGCGTGTGCCTTTTTTCCTTTGACGAATTAATTAGATAGACATACTTAGAACAAAATCTTCTGTTTTGATTGTTCTGCAATTGAAGTTTAACTAACCACTACTGCTTGGAAATCATCGACCAACAAGATTTAAAATGTAATCGGTTTTGGCGCCTGGACTGGATCAGTTATATGTATCAAGTTAACATTTGACTACTATTTGTAAGCTGACTGCCCTTTGAAATCTGAAGAATGTCTTTACTTTATATTCTGTGAACCTGTACCTATCTGAACGATACGATTATTGAACACACTCTCGAATTAATTGGTACCAATATCCGCAGTTAACCAATTCAGCCAGCTCTTAGCCGCCAGTATACCGCAGTGCGTGGCCATTAAATGCATGAGTCCTATTTGGTACAAAAACATTAAAAATAAAAAATAAGAACTGAGATTGTAATTGAGAAAAATCACTAAAAAATATTTAGCATGAATCATTATCTATTACATGAGGTTAGACAAACTCATAAAGGTAAAATTGGGACATATCACTTCCTTCTATAGTATTTTCCACTCCCACATATATGAGTTTGTCTAATCTCATGTAATAAGTAATCTCTTATGTTAAACTCTCTTTGAATAAATTTTTTTTCAATTATAATCATAATCTATATCCTTCATTTTCAATGGTTTGTACCAAACAGAATTATAAAATTAAACTTGTCCCAGCTATTTGCAGTATGTAATGTTACTTTCGTGGCTCCCGGTGTTAGAAAATGAAAGTAAGCCAATATGTTAGTATTTATTTTTATTGTTATATGGTCTTCTAGACGCAAGCCAAAGTCCCAGAGCTGCCATTAAATGTCGTCTCTCGCTGTTTTAGAACTTGGAAGCATTTTCAATGTTCAAAATCAATACATACAAAACCTTAATGATGCCTTACCTCTTTAGCCATAAAGTCTGTCCGTGCTCCGTGTAATATGTATTTATTATTTATCATTTTAGTGTTAGCACTTTCAGCATTGGTTTAATTCCTTCTTCCTTTCTGGGGCTGAGAAGAAGAATGAAAGATGCAGATTCAAATCTCAAAGGCCATCCCAATTATAGAAACACAACTCAATCTTCATGATTGTCCGAATCCGTTACCAAGGCAAATCGATCTTATTAATTGTCGTTACAAGAGCTGGCTAAAAGAAAACTAAACAACTAAGGACTCATTAGAAAAACAAGAGAAGAAGACAAGAGGAGGAAACCCAGGGTTCATTTCCCATAGTTTGTCTTGTGAAAATAATCAAATATATGCTACGGGTGCTGCCACTTGTCATAAAGCCTCTCTAACAAACACCACCAAGTTGCTAGCTAAAACATTGTACTTCAGTCGCTTTCATGAACAAAGCACAGATCGATATCGCAAGGAAGACAACTCAGATCAATCAATCGCAGAACTATGAATTTTAGTAGTATTCTCCTTTTGCCGAGGTCCTAAAATCCGTTATTAGATCCCTACCATTCACTATCTTCTGCAGGCATAACTTTCCTCATGATTATATTTGCCCTTGGATTAATTAATTAAACCACCCCTTGTGTAGAGAGAACATTAGCAGTTATGTACTTAATAATTAAGACTTACCCTCTGGATCAAAATTTGAGGTGAACATAAAACACAAACTTCAGCGCCAGCTCCATATGTGGATCTGGATCTGCACTTGCATATACAAAAGTAGCAAATAATAATGGGCCATTCAACTTGTGGCTCGGTGGCGAAAGTACTTTCCTTTCACTCGCCAGCCCACAGCTCGAATAGGAAGTCACACGCAGAAACGACAGCGTAAGTTATATAAATTGCGGTAAGCAGAAAATAAGATGGAGGGGGAGACTTGAGAACCTGAAGAGGCCAATTTGAAATCGAGTCAATCCGGATGAAGAGGGCCGTACGGTCTGGGGTTTCCGGCTTCTGCCAAAAACTTGAAAACATCCAAAGATTTGTACATGTAGTTCAGTTCAGACCAGAGAAAAGTTATAAATATGGTAGCCGAGATGGCATTCACCTGCAGATGCACCTGCACCTCGTGCTTTGGTCTTTCCCAAAATCCTATACCTTCTTCCTCATGCATCCCTATGGCAAGGGGAGGTTCAAAATTGCAGAAAGAGAACAAAAAGTGATAAAGTGCAGGTGCAAATGCAGATAAAGGCGACATGTCGGCAGGAATCCGGTGCTGGCGGCCGGAAGCAGGCAAAGGCAATATGTGTGGAGAAGCAATAATGTAGATACAAGAGGAGGGAGTTGTGTCTGAGAACTGAGAAGGCACAAGTATTAGATATATATGAGAGTTATTTATAGGGTAGGTGTCCGAGTTCTTTCCTCACCATGAAGAACTCGAAAGAGTCTGGACCACTTCATGTGCAGCTACGTTTTATCTTAAAAGCATATTATGTGTTGGGACATTCCTAGTAATTATGGAACATATGAGGTTGAGAATTGGATGGAGAAGGCAGCATTGCTGTTAAACATTGGACTATAGGAGCGGATAAGGATTTCAAGACCTCCATTATTATTTCTCTCTCTCTCTCTCTGTTTCTTTTTTTTTTTTTTTTTTCCTTTTTCTGGAATCAAAAGTCGGAAAGAGCTAAGCATGCTCATGTCTGCCACACAAACCGGCAAACCAGCTGGTCTATGGCCACGTGACGGAGCCTTGTCAAGCACGTGGGATTAGACGTCCCCGCTAATGGAAGGCGGCCACGTGGCGCGTGGAATTGAATCTTCACTTGAAAAGACAATGTAATGCTGTACGTGTGGTTTTCGGAGAATCGAGGGAAATTAAGTGAGGGCCCGTCCGCGAATGATTCAAGTCTTCCTCGACGAGAGCGATGACAAGGACGCATATATACACAAAAAGCTAGCCTGTCCATGGGCTTGCCTAATTAATCCTCCTCTTCTCTTCATTAATTCTTAATTAACTCCAACCCAAGACACAGCCTCATGTTTAATTGTGACTGCGTGTTGGACTCTATATGTAGATATATTAGATGGGCGAGTGACAGGAAAAAAATTGTGCAACTCAGCTTATGGTGTAGTATTGCTTTGACCATATCAGCGCAACTGGCCGGGGTCGACAAATTTACGATCCCATCCCCTAAAGTTGTTGAACTTCGTAATTAAAATGGTTTCCATATTCTTGTCAATAATTGAGTATATATATCAACTTTTCAAATGTCATCAATTATTTTGGATATTTTATCCTCGTCGTATGAAATTCTTGACTTA